GATGAGGTGGAGGAGGTGAAGAAGCTGGTGAGGGAAGATGGGGACGTAGTGGATATCTTGTACCTCACCAGCCCGGAGGCGATAGATGCTACTGAGCTTTATGGGCCAAGCTCATTGGGGGAAGGTTGGTGGATGTGTTTAATGTGCCATTTTGGTGAGAGCTTAACTAATGTGTTCTAACATTGATGTTTGTTCTGCAGCTGAGATGGACGAGTTCGTTGGTGCTGCTGGGGGCTTGCGCATCCCCAAGAAGCCAAGGAAGAAGTCAAAGACTTCAACTACGGCTGAGAAGGGGGTGACAGAGGGGGGGCGACTGTCCAGCATCTCTGCCCAGGCTATGGAGGTTCAGCCAAGGCCGGAGCCTACGATGGGGGGTAGTAAGGATGTGAGTGAGGAGATGGCACCTCTCCAGAGGAAGAAGAGGAGGGTGGCAGAGTTAGGAACTAGGGGGGATGAAGTGGTGGAGTTCGTGCCCCTGCCTTCTCCCCCAGAAATCAATCCGGAAGAGAGGGAGAGGGGCGAGGTCGAAGTGCGAGGCCTTGGTGGGGGCAGGGAGCGCACCCCTCCGCACGTATACCAGAAGAGTTTGTTTGAGGCAACAAACAAGACTGGGGCGAAACACTTCCTCAACGCTACTCTTCCGGAGGTGGACAGAGTTCAGGCGAAGAACGAGGTGGTTAGCCATGCGGGGTATACCGTTGTGAGGCATGCCCTAGAGGTACGCGAAATAATTAGATTTTACTCCAGTTGTATGTTTTGAGTTTTTTGTCCTGCGTGTCTGATGTCTGACTTCTGATTGCCTTGTAGAGTGCGAGCTGGACAAACGCTCTAGCGCAGGAGTATGCGGAGAGCGTTAGAGATCGTGCCAGCTTGCAGCGGCAGTGCGATCAACTCCAGAAAGAGAAGGATGAGCTGTAGAAGGAGAGGGTGGAATGGGAGAAGCAGAAGAGGGAGATGCAGAGGAGGCTGGATGAAGTTCTCCCTTCAGTGACCAAGCTCCAGAACGAGAATGATGTCCTGAGCATGAAGCTCGGTCTTGAAGAACGTAAGAGGAAGATCTGCGAGGAGAAACTCGAGGCTCAGGACAAATATATGGACAAGATGAGGAAAGCAGCCTTGGAGCTGAAGAAGAACGTGGACCTGCTGGTGCACAACGGGATGGAGGAGCACATTGGCAACTTCCTCAACTCCAACACCTTCGAGGACATCCTCAAACTCTACCGACTACCAACCGCAATCGTGGCCTTCACCGACTGTAGAAAGAAAGTGAAGGCCTAGTACCCAGAGGTGGACGTGACAACAGTCACCTTTGGGGAACAAGAGGAAGGGGTGGAGGAAGATGGGGAGAGCTTCTGTGCTGACTTCCGACCTCAGATCACGCTGAGGTGGGAGCGTGATGTAGAGGGGCGCACTATTTTTCCTCTAACCTTCTAAGCTGATTTGGTGGCGGTGGGGGGAGAAGAAGAAGAAGAAGAAGAAGAAGAAGAAGAAGAGCAAGGCACTGGAGTTGGGGATCAGGCAGCAGTGGCCGAAGTGCAGCCTCCTGAGGTGCATCCAGTCTCCTCTGACGAGGTGTAGCAGCTGGCTCCTCCTGAAGTAGAAGTGCCACCTCAGCCTGCTGAAGACGGAACCAGGTCT